ACCTCTGAATCAGTTCCTCACTCCTAACTCGACCAACATCATTTCCTCCCACGCTAATGCAAATAATGGGATTGTTCCCATTACCAGCCATAATATCATTCATGTTGTTTATAATATCACCAATGCCAGCTCCGGGATAGCAAACCCTTAACCTGTTCCCCCTATCTCTAGCACAAAACGTTCTATCCAAATACCTTATCTGGGAATCTCCCACAACTAATGTTTGCTTAGGTACTTCCTTTACCCTCTGAGGGGCCTGCGCTTCCTTTCTCTTCGTTGCTTTCCCTTTTGCGCGATCCACAGTCTCTCCACAGCACTCGTCCTCCAAAACGTCAAATGAATTAGAGGTTGCTATGGCGTTTGAAGGCGGCTTTATCAAAGTCTTCTTAAGGCCCCTGTCTTTCACAACTCTCCAAGACGAGGTCCCTTTACTGCTGGTCTCCTCCTTCGTTACTTCTCGTTGTTCTTTCAGCTGACGCACCTCCTCCCGCAGAAAGTCCAACTCTGTCCTCAGGGCTCCCACTAGAGTCACCAGGTCCTTAACTACAACTTCCATATTGCAATGATAATATAACAACACTCGGAGCTCCGGTTAACACAACCTCTCATCAAATCTACTGATGCTTTCAAAAATTTTCATTTGATGGTGCTACATAACCTTCCTGGTTTGGTGCCTTCTTTTTGATACTTATTTTCAAAAATATTTGAAAAATCGCTTACTGACTGCTCTATTTCTACTTTGAAAAACTTGACATTATTAAATCCCTACCAGTTTGGTACTCTTTTGGGAATGGATGCCAATGCCATTATTAGGCTGCTCAATATAATCCATAAAGCCCTTGTCAGAATAAAGTTCCCAATTGGCCTCTTTATTGACCTGTGAAAAGCCTTTGATATTGTAAATCATAACTACCTCTTAAACTTTACCATGGTATCAGAGGCCTAGCTCTGGATTATTAGTTCCTTTCTTGGTGATGCACCATTATGTAGCCATCAATAACTTGACCCCCCCCTATCTACCATTGACAGTAGGAATGCCACAGGGCAGCATCTTGGGGCCCTTTGTTTCTTATATCAATGATTTGCTAAATGTTTGTAACATTCTTAAACCTATACTATTTGCTGACAATACTACCTTTCCTCTATTCTGACCCAAACTTGCCAAATATTGTCGATAATGAATTAATCCACTCGTGGATGTCTACCAACAAACTCGCTGAACATAGATAAGGCCTAATGTACTATATTTTATTTGGTAGTAAATTGCCAAATGAAATTCAACTTCAGGTAGACAATGTTAACATTGTCAAAAAAATAAGGGGGAAAAGTTATACATAGCCTATACATAGACACGACTCAACTTCAGCACCCACATAACGCAGCCAAAAGTCTTAAATGGTTAGTATATTTTCCAACATAGATTGTGCCCTCATTCTGCTCTTCGCATTGCACTGGGGTAATTTATACCTCTTGCATACGGTATCTGTGCATGGGATTCGACCACTGCAAATTATCTAGAGCCCATCATCACTCTACAAAAATCTATCGGAACTATAACTCTCTTCAGACAACACGCTTCACTATTGTTTGTCCCATAAGGGGGCCAGGAAATGAAATTTTGCACCTTGCTCAAACGCTTTCTAATTATTTGTACATAATCTACTAGGCACATGCTCCAACTTTATCTAAATAATCGCCAACGTAACGTGGAAAAACAAAAAATGAAAAATATTTGTAGAAGTATTAAAAATTTAAGATTTTTAAATTAGCATAAAATATTAAATATCACAAATTGTTCATTTGGTGTTATTAGGCTCTCAGAAGAGCATATAATCTTCATTCTTATTAGTTATTATTATAGGATTCAGTATAGTTTACTGTAAAAAAAGTCAAATATGGCATTTGATATATGCGCCAAATTGTATACCAAAAAATTTATAACTCGACATTTAAGGTTTATGAAAAAACAATGAAATAGGATTGTAGAACAGACGACTGTGCCCATTTTATGTAAAAATGGTGAGAATCGGTCAAACTGGATTTTTGATGCCGACTCAAAGTGGAAACTCTAGTTGTAAAGATAATTGAATTTGAAGTTAATGACAATGAATAAGGTAGTTCTAATTCATTAATTTACTTGTATGTTTTAATAAACATGGTTTTTTATTCATACTTGAATATGTGAGTTGTAGATCAATGTGTTGAAATGAAGTAAAGAAAAAATGAAGAAAAACAGATATAGGGATAATTATAATGATTTAGGGGATGTATGCATACTTTATATAAGTGATAAAGCCCTAATCTGGTCCCTAATTATCAAAAAACCCTAAAGAGACAAAGAAAATGGTTTGAAATCTGAAATATCACCTCTCCCCCCCCCCAAAAAAAAAAAGTCCAAGTACCAAGTTTTGCCAGTTGTGGCTGATGTATTTGTTGACCAATTAAATTCTAGTATCTTGACATAGTTAAGGACGGGTATGCACTCTACAGGATGTAAAAATTGCAACAAAATCAGATAATACACAAAGGAAGACAAAAAAAATATAAAAAAATACATTTGTGGACACTGGTGAAAATAACAGATATTAACATTGGGCATTGTATTTATATGATATATATAACAAAACAGAGCATAATAACATACTTATTATTATTTGTTTTATTATGTATTACTCAGCAATGCTATAAAGGCACCAACTGCATATCCACTTTGTGAACACTTCTTACCACTTGGTCCGGGAGACATCTCCCGTCACGCAGGGTGCAGTTGCGCCTCCACAGATCTCCAGTATCATCTTTTGATACTGGTAATGGCTCGAAAGGGCCACCACTTACGGGTTATTCATGCCCGTGCCACCTCTTGGGTGGCTTAATCTTCATCAATCAATCATTTCCTCTTCATTGGACCATTTGGTCCGGGAGACATCTCCCGTCACGCAGGGTGCAGTCGCGCCTCCACAGATCTCCAGTATCAGCTCTTGATACTGGTAATGGCTCAAAAGGGCCACCACTTACGGGCTATTCATGCCCGTGCCACCTTTTGGGTGGCTCTTCATCTCACATCTCAACAAAGCCGACCTACACCAGAGAATAGCTGAAGGTTCGCCATCTGCAACATGGTATCTTCAGGCAACCAAATTAGAAAGGTTAAATATCCCAAAAGGAATCCACAGGGAAATAGCAGTTAGGTTATATAGACTACGTCTAGGTTACAGATGCAACTGGAAGATTGGTGAACCCCGACAGAGAGAGTGCATCTTCTGCCAAACTGTCACAGAAAAGCCATTACTTCACTATCTTCTGGAATGTGAAGCAACCAATGACCTTAGAAGAGCTTTAAGAGTTCCTGAATCATGCAGTGGCCACCCTGAAGCCATCAACACAGCCACTCTCCTGGTCAACAAAGGTGTCCAGCAGCTGGACACCCTCATAAAGACTGCGAAGCAGTATCCTCCCCCGCGATAACAGCTTGATGGTTAAATGCAACCTCAGAATACTGAGAAAAAAAATTGTACCACTTACGGGCTATTCATGCCCGTGCCACCTCTTGGGTGGCTTAATCTTTATCAATCAATCAATCTTCCTCTTCACACCACTTGGTCCGGGAGACATCTCCCGTCACGCAGGGTGCAGTCGCGCCTCCACAGATCTCCAGTATCAGCTCTTGATACTGGTAATGGCTCAAAAGGTCCACCACTTACAGGCTATTCATGCCCGTGCCACCTCTTGGGTTTCTTAATCTTTATCAATCAATTCCTTTTCACGTCGGGAGACATCTCTTCACGTCACGCAGGGTGCAGTCGCACCTCCACAGATCTCCAGTATCAGCTCTTGATACTGGTAATGGCTCAAATGGGCCACCACTTACGGGCTATTCATGCCCGTGCAACCTTTTGGGTGGCTTAATCTTTATCAATCAATCTTCCTCTTCACAATCGATTTGAGAATGGTCCAGGACGGACCGAAACGTCGTCGTCCCTTCACCTTCTAGTGTGTGGTCTGGTCAACTTACTTTAGCCACGTTATTGTGAATCATCGCCTGCACCTTCTTGTATATAAATAAATAAATAAATAAATAATATTTGCCCTGGTGGTTTTATCGAGCAATGTTTTATCATTTATGGCTTCGTCAGGAAAGTGGTTCCATGGTTTCCTCTGAATTTACTCGAGGGTGGCCCTCGGGCAAATTCAGGTATCTCTCTCTAGTGGTCTCGACGAGGACAGGAAGGTTGTCTGGCTTGTCGAAGGCCCCTCCCTTTTCTTTTGGGGATTTTATCGAGCAATGTTTCGGCATTTATGACTCCGGCGGGTATGCGTTTCCACAACTTTATAATTCTATGAGTAAAAACAAATATTTTCCATCCTTCAGTGTGGCTTGTTGAGCTCGAAACCGTTGCTCCTTGTTCGTCTTACATCTAGCCTTTTGAAGAAGTGTTCTGGGTCAATACCTTCCAAATTGTTCAGTAATTTAAAAGTTTTGCTGAGAGCATTCCTGTCATGTCTGGTCCCTGTTGCCCTCAACCGTTCCTGGTATGAAAGTCGACTTATTTCGGAAAATATTTTAGTCGCCCGGTGTTGAACTTTCTCCAAAGCAGATATGTCTTTCTGAAGATGAGGTCTCAATGCGTGGATATAATAATACAAAGTGGAAGCACACTAGAGATTTATACAGTTGTATAACTACCTTTTCCTTCGTCAAAATTTCGTTTGACTATTCCTAGGATTTGGTTTGCTTTTATAACTGCAGCTTCCACTTCCACAGCTAATTCGAGTGATATTTAACTAGCTTATTAATGTAAAATGAGTCGGTGTGTACGAACTATACACCGATTCATTTTATATACCAATTTTCGTCAGTAGTTGCCTGACGAAATGGGCCTATGGTCAAATCGTACACAATATTTTTTTACAATGATCTTTTTCTGGTTGTCCAAACCGTATATATCGTCAGGTTGGTATATATATATATCAGCTTAAATTATGCTGTGTTAGGCTGGCTTGGGTTATATTAGGTTGGGTTAGGTTTTGGTTGGTTACTGAAGTGTCTTTTGTACGATGTTACTTGTTTGCCAGGAGGTAAACAGAGGCCGGCAGAGCAGTGCTGCTGCGGCTGAGCAGTTATAAAAGGTGTTAAATACAGTGTAGGTACAGTAGAGCAGTGTTATAAAGGTGTTTAATACAGTGTAGGTACAGTAGAGCAGTGTTATAAAGGTGTTTAATACAGTGTAGGTACAGTAGAGCAGTGTTATAAAGGTGTTTAATACAGTGTAGGTACAGTAGAGCAGTGTTATAAAGGTGTTTAATACAGTGTAGGTACAGTAGAGCAGTGTTATAAAGGTGTTTAATACAGTGTAGGTACAGTAGAGCAGTGTTATAAAGGTGTTTAATACAGTGTAGGTACAGTAGAGCAGTGTTATTAAGGTGTTTAATACAGTGTAGGTACAGTAGAGCAGTGTTATTAAGGTGTTACAGTGTAGGTACAGTAGAGCAAAGGTGTGCCCGAAACGCTATGCGTATAAGTGGCTTCAGGTATTGTCTGTACAAGCTCTATCTATAAATCCAACTTTTATGTTTGCAAATCATCTATATGTACCTTTTCTGCCCGGGAAGAAAAACGCAGTCCTAGTATGGGGGGACTTATTAATGTAGTGCTCCTGGCAGTATGGGTTCGAGTCACTTCTGGGGTGTGAGTTTTCAGTTGCATATAGTCCTGGGGACCATTCAGGCTTGTTTGCATTTGTGTTCCTCACGTGTGCCCCAAAGAATGAGGTGATTTGATAAACAATACAACAATACAATACAATTTTATTTAGGTAAGGTACATACATACAATAAATTTTTACAAGGATTGGTTGACTTATAGGTAGAGCTAGTACATACAATGCCTAAAGCCACTATTACGCAAAGCGTTTCGGGCATAAACTACTATGACAAGATTACCATCAGAGTGCGGGTGGGCTGATGGGCAAAATAGCCTCGGCTACCATCAGCTTTTGACCGGTCGTGATGGTAGAGTGGATTAAGGTGTCCTGTACACACCAGTTGCATTGTGCTCCTGGCAGTATGGGTTCGAGTCACTTCTGGGGTGTGAGTTTTCAATTGTACCTTATGTATGAACAATTCTGCTCAGTAGTTCTTGGAAGGGTTTTGATTAGAGATAAATAAGTGTTTTAAAGGTCATTCTGGGGCCAGATTGAGATTTCTCCAGTGTCTCCCTAGTAACAGAATGATCTGATGGAGACATTTGAAAAAAAATCCCTGCTGCAAGCACTATTGCCATAATTCAACCAGCCCTTCCTGTACATAGCAAAGAGCATGTGAAGAGCAGGACCATGATAAGGGTGCAACCAAACACCTGGCTCAGAATATAATACAGCATAATAGTAATTCATTGTGGTGGGGGACAGACAGCCAGTGTATATACAGTATACATGTTTGGCTCCCCCCTCCCCCTGGTCAAACCACTGACCCTCTTCCAGGATGCAACTCACAGTATGCTGACTAACTCCTAGGTATCTATTTACTGCTAGGTGAACAGGGGAATTAGGTCATAGGTAATATGCTCAACCATTTTTGTCCTGCCTGGGACAGAAATTCATCTACATGAAAATCCCATTTTGTATGTTAATTAAATTGTAAACTTGTTCTAATTTAGTGTGAGAAATTAAAAAAAGTTCACTTTCATATATTTTCAGATGGCTACTAGACTTCCAGCAGCAGCTTTACGGGTGTCACTCACAAAACCATGGCTCCATCTGAAAGTGTTTGCATCGGCACCTTTAAACTATTTAAGTCGGGTCCCAGAACACTATAAGAAGTTTTATTGGGAGTGGAAATGCACACAAATGTCACCAGTCCATTATATTCCGAAACCAGGGAATTTTGAAAAGTTACCAACTGGGGAAGTGTAAGTGGCAATTAAAATTTTTTGGTAGTCGATGACAAACCATTTTTAACACTAATTTTATATTTTTGCATCCAGCAGATTTTACAGGTCCTACTCCCTAGTACTGCCCGGGTAGGTGACCCCCCTTTCCGAGGCCTGGCCGGGTGGGCTCTCGCCCCCTTCCGAGGCCTAGCCGGGTAGGCTCTTGCCTCCTTCCAAGGTCTGGCCGGTTAAGCTCTTACCCCCGTTTCGAAGGCTGGGCCGGTTAGGCTTCCACCCCTTTCCAAGGCCTGGTCGAGTAGGCATATATAACCTCCACTCCAAGTCCAGGCCAGATAGGCGCCCCCCATTTTTGAGTCCTGGCCAGTTAAGTTCACCCCTCTAGGTCCTTTCTGGGCATGCACTTTCCCCCCTCACCCCTGAGTACTTTGCAAGTACCTGTAGCTGCTCCCATTCCCTCCAGAGTCCTGGTTGAGTAGACTCCTCCCCTTCGAGTTCTGGCCACATAGGTCTCTTCCTTCTCCTGATTCCTAACCTAGATTCTCAGGGTGTTTTTGTCATCGTCTACGGTTTTCCTTAGGCCTTGAGTGTGAATACAGTTTGTCATTTTATATGTGGCCTGTATGTGTTGCTTGCAGTAAGCCGGTTTCTTTTTCCCGATTGTGTCATCCAGGAGGCTGTTGTTGTTGTAAAGGGGGCTTACTCTCCCTCCTTGTTTCACTGTCTTGTTTCCTTAGCCTACCTTCCTCCTCTTCAGCCTGAATCATGGTGATGTGATTTTGCTTTGTCCTGTTGTTTCTGTCACCTTGGGTTCCAGTGTGCTTTGTCTGGGTGGTTCATTTTGTGACTTTTTTTTATTTATTTTTTATTTATACATAAATATATGCAAGAGTTCTTATATTCTTGTACAGCCACTAGCATGCATAGCATTTTGGGCATGTCCTTAATCATAATTTTCCCCAGAATATGACCCGCCAAATTGTTTTAACAACCAGGTACCCATTCACAATATTGGTTATTGTTTGAAGAGGTATTTAACATTGACTATTGTACGTATTATGACACCTTTTATACAGTATGATGAGAAACAAATGGATTGAAACGAGTGTAAAGAAAGACCTTGATGCATATATACACACACACTTTACAAACATTACCATTACCCCAGTTATAACTTTTATGGGTTGGAGAGGCATCAGCCCAGAGATAAACGAGTGAATACTATAGATAAATAAGGTTCTAAATTATAGAATCTTAAAAGTTATATGGTTTCTTCTTTGAATCATCTACAATACTGTAAAGCATTGTGGATAAATAGGCACTACCACACTAGCAGTCATTCACAGCTTTTCATAAGACTAAACATTCAGTGCTCCTTGTAAATTGGTGCATACCGCACTGTACATATGCAGATATATTCACTCCCTCCCAACAAATTGCTTCCACTTATCATAGTCCTTTACCATATCTCGTACAGTACATTGTTTTCACTCACTCCCCACTTCCTCACATGCTTGCACTCCATATCCACCATCTGCTCCTGCTGCCTTCAGGTTCACTCTAATACACTCTCTTCATCAGTCTATCATTGTCCATTCTTTAAAGCATGTCCTGCCCAAACTATTGCAGGGTGCTCCTGAATCTTATGATTAACTGACATTTGATCCCCAATTAATAATGCTAAAATTTATCACTATGATTAATGATGTATGAGCAAGATGTACAGTTCCAGTATTCCATTTATTGAATCTGTTTTATAAAATAGATTTGTCTTTGATATAAGTGACAGAAAATGTAATAATAAATTTTGTAAATACATACTGTATATTATGACATTAATATAATTATTTTTCAAATCCAGTAATTCTGTTAATTTGCAGTATACAGTGTTGCCATGTTCTTCTTGTGTTTCAGGTATGGTGCATTTTTATTGTTTATATACAAATTTTGTATTAAAAAGTATGATGTTAAACTTATTTTCATAAATAATTGCAGGGTACCAGTGCAGAACGTTCCACTCCTACTCAGAATCCCCAAAGAGCTTCATCAGGGTATATGGGGTGGAGAGGCCATCATCAGGGGATTCCAAAAGCGGAAAGAGTAAGTTTATTTTTGCTCCAAACTTTTGAACAGTAATGAAGAAGTTTTTGAACTTGCCTCCAAAGTTACAGATAGTCATCTTGATGGTTCTAAGTGAAAGCATGGTGCTAAAAAAAAGCAAAGTGTGAGATTGGGCCTCACACGTGTGAGGTCCACACGTGGTTTGAGTTTCCTAGAGCCCAGGTGGATGGCATGGTTGCTACTTTGTGGTCATTCGGTTATTCTCGTAATAGCAATAAATTTTCTTAAGAAATTTTGGAATGGGGTTTTTATGTAATCCAACTATTTATAGAAATTTTGTGGAAAGTAGAAGTTTTATAGTTGTGTTTATGTATTGTAGTAAATGCCGAGATGTATGTCGTAATAGAAAGAGAAGGGATAAGGCAAAGAGGATACACTTACTGTTCTGTGCCTGTAAGGAATAAAATTGAACTATTGTTCCTCTGCCTCTTGTTATTAGTAGTTGGTGTGTTTATTCCTACCGAAATGCTAGTACTGTACAAACTGTAAATGGAGGCATACCCGGAGAAGGTTTCTGGAGGAGACAATTTCCACTAAATGTGAATACTTTCTTATGTATTTGACTCTTTATTTCTAACCCTTACCTGTTACCCTTATTTGAAACAGGCTGTCCCTATCCATTTCATCTATTACAGTACTATCAAGTTCTTTTCATGGCTCCATGGTGACCGGCCCAGCCTTGGTTTCAGGTGCTGCTAAAAATGGTCATGCAGGGATGCTATAGTACGCGTGACATCTATGCTAGATGTATCATCTGCCTGACTACCCATTTATTCTAAGGATGTGCAGTGCTTTAACCCCTACACTACTCCAATTGCTACATATGATTTTATCCTGTGTGATTTGTTAACAAAATTTTGTCATGTGCACCTCAGTGTGATACTTTGAAATAGCTGTGCCCTTTAAGGCAACTGAATAACTTGCTAAGAAAAGCCTCAAACCTTTTCACAACCTCAAAGTATTTATTTTTTATTACAAAATTTCAGGACTATAAGACGTGTTCCTCATTATTGGGTACCCTCAATCAAGATGTCAGTAGTATATTCAGAAATTCTAGATCGATACATGCGTCTTCATGTGACTGATAGAACACTCAAGCTAATTGATGAGAAATATGGATTTGATAATTATATTTTGCAGGTGAGTGTGTGTTTGTGTGTACTGTATATGTCAATGTTAATGGTGTTGGAGACATTAAGAGATGATTAATGAATTTATATGATGTCCATCCCTTATAATATGCCAGACTGGTTGATGATAGTTATGTGCAATGTACTAATTTAAATCATAATGTTACAACATAAACTGAACCGCCATTTTGCTGAAATTCTGTTTGCCAACGATCCGAACCCATACAAAAAAACTGTACAGGTACTGTAAATATAATGAAATTGTCGGCCCATTACTTAAGTATTGATGAAAAGTCAGTTCTGGGATATAGCCTCTCTTCTACAAAAAGCTGTGATTAATTCACACTTAATATTTTAGTTTCATTAGTTCATTAATTTTAATTCAAATTTTCTTGATAAATGTCTCATTACAAAGACTGTCTCATTACTTGGGGGTCTTACAAAAAAAAATAGTACACATAGAAACTCCCAAAAGGTTCCAACATGCTTTAGATTGCCTTAAGAAAAATGAAAATAATATTATTATGAAACTTGATATTAATATTGGAAAGGGCAACATTTTAACAGGGAGTTTGATGAGCTACGCAGGGACACAGATACCTATGAGAGGCTTTTATGGATCCTCTCAAAGACAAAGTGAAGCTTTTCGATAAAACCATTAATAAACTGCTAAAGAAACCAGATTTTACAAATAAATTATACAACCATGACTTATTCCCTTCCATATGTGTATAGGTACCTTAAATGCAAGGAAGGATTTTGCTCTTTTCTCCATTATCTTATTAGCAGTAAGGCAGTAGGACATATTTCTAAAGCACACACTTTAATTATCTAAGACTTTGTGGAAAAAGTATATTTCTCTGAATATTCCAATCTGAATTTTTTTAGTTTTGATATTAACTGGTTCTCTACTAAAATTCTGGTAGATGAACTCATTCAATTTAGCAGAATAATTTTACCTATCCTTAACAGGTACCAGTAACTCTAGGTTAACAGGTTTACTGAGCTAATGAAACGGTCTCACCTAGTTGTGCTTGCGAGGGTTGAGCTCTGCTCTTTTTGGCCTGCCTCTCAACTGTCAATCAATCAACTGTTACTAATATTTTCTTTTACCTCCCCTTCCCTAGGAAGCAGACTGTAACAGCTGTCTAACTCCCAGGTACCTATTTACTGCTAGGTAACAGGGGCATCAGGGTGAAAGAAACTCTGCCCATTTGTTTCTGCCATCACCGGGGATCAAACCCTGACCCTAAGATTACGAGTCTAGAGTGCTGTCCACTCAACTATCGGGCCCCTAATGTACCAGTGACATTGCAATTACCTAAGTGTAGTTACAAGATGAGAGCTATGTTTGTGGTGTCCCGTCTTCCCAGCACTCTTTGTCATATAACGCTTTGAAACTACTGACGGTCTTGGCCTCCGCCATCTTTTCACCTAACTTTTTCCAACTGTCTACCACTCTGTTTGCGAAAGTGAATTTTCTTATATTTCTTCGGCATCTGTGTTTAGTTAGTTTAAATCTATGACCTCTTGTTCTTGAAGTTCCAGGTCTCGGGAAATCTTCCCTATCAATTTTATCAATTCCTGTTACTATTTTGTACGTAGTGATCACATCACCTCTTTTTCTTCTGTCTTCTAGTTTTGGCATATTTAATGCCTCTAACCTCTCTTCGTAGCTCTTGTCCTTCAGTTCTGGGAGCCACTTAGTGGTATGTCTTTGAACCTTTTCCAGTTTGTTGATGTGACTCTTAGATATGGGCACCATACAACCGCTGCATATTCCAGCTTTGGTCTAACAAAAGTCGTGAACAAGTTCTTTATTATTTCGCCATCCATGTATTTAAAAGCAATTCTGAAGTTAGAAAGCGTAGCATAGGCCTCTCGCACAATGTTCTTAATGTGATCCTCAGGTGATAGGTTGCAACCCATCCTCCGAATTGACAGTGCATTTTAATACTAAATGTAATAAGTACATTTCCTGACTGCCATACATAGTACATACTGCTTTTATTCTTCCTATTTATTTGCTTGTATTTGAGGTTGCTAATCTGGTGTTTACCAGCAACTTCTGAGCTAGGTTTTATTACTTCCTCCATTCTCTACAGCTCCAGTTCGGTTGGCCCTTGCTCCCGCTCTTATAGTTTCCTTACTCTGTTTTCAGTTCCCTTTCTGCTGTTTACAAGTAATTGCACTTATGGGGCTGTTACATTTACCTACCCATTTATTCTCGTTTTCTGTTAAGACGCTCAGAATTTTAGGATGAAGTTTTAAAGTTCAGTTTGCTATACACAAGTTTTAAATATCAGGAATTTCTTTTTCAGTTTTATTAAACAAGAGATTTTATACAAAATTTGAAAATATCCTGAGTTACTTTACAATTTATTGAAGTATTTTAGTTTTGTTTTGTTTTATAAAACTGTAATATCAATATAGCTATAGGTTAAGTAGTAATTATAATTAATAAGCAATAGAATGCTTATCTTCAAAAACTAAGACGGTAAGGTTAGGTCGTGGTTTTCTATTCAGTTTTTCAGGTAAACTCAAATATTCCCAATATATTTGATAGTATGTTTTAAAACAAAGTGAAAATACTGTAAGTACAGTTCTTGCCTGTCACACATAGTACATAATTGTACTTATGGGGCTGTTACATTTACCTCCCCATTTTTGGAGGATGGGCTGATAGAAAACTATCTAGAACTACCCCCTAGAAACATTACCCTACCCATTAGAATATTACAACTACCCCCTATCAAACATTACGTAATCAATTTTGAATTTCAAATTCTCTGATGGTCAATTTAATCTTAACAAGAAAATTCATCAAGATTTCATTCAAAGGAAACATCTGCTTGTCACATGAAGTAACATCATGATAGAGGTAATCTTTACACGAGATAAACACCCTCCTCTCTCTCTATTGTCTAGTTGAAGCTGAAGAGGTTCTGTTCATCAAGATAACAGTTTTCTACTCTGTTTTCTTCAGTAATATGCAAAGAAAATGCATAGTTATGTAAATTTACAAAATAAATCGGCAAGTATCCAAGTCATCGTCTTGAAACACGTTACAGGATAGGGTGTGCTCTTATGTGTTCTGTACAGCTCTGGAAAGGGCAAGAGTCACTAGTCATGTCATGTAAACAAATCCAACAGGAGCCTTGATTAGGGTTCGAACATATGTGCTGGGTATTCACAGGCACGCTCTAGTCGACTGCACCACGACATGCAAAGACAGTCTAAAGACAAAAGACAATCTATCTAAACACAGTCGTGTGTGTTTATATACTCTTATCAGTGCTGTTTTGTCTCTTCCCAGAATGTTGAATGCTTTTTAATATTACATCACTTTTTTTAAATGAAGTACAATGAATTTTGTATAAATTTTGGTATGCAAAAACAATAGTCATATTAATTAACATGAATAAAGTAATAAGATAGGTACAGGTACATTTTTGCAAAGCTGCTAATACACAGGGCATGTCTTTCAAGTAATGATGTACAGTACAGTACTGTATTGTTATTTTGATGATGCTGTGCTCTCTACTGACAATACTGTATTTTCATACATCTTCATTTTTATCAATTTTGCAGACTCCTCCCGTTGACCTGATGTCTGAGTTAGCACTCCGGCTGAGAAGAGAGATGCTATTGACATTAGTCAGAGAGACACTATATCCTGATAATCCAGCCAAGAAGCAGGAAATACTTGAGAAGTATAAGGATCATATAATTCCTGTGAGTAAATGTGCATCGATCTCGCGGTGTCCCTTCTCTGGAGTCTTGCGTCGAACCCGTAGTCTCCAATCTCCTGGCGAGCTTGCGCGCGTTGGGGAGTTTTTCTGTTCGGCAGATGTTCCATCTCCTTTGCCGGCTTGGGTTCCGGCTCTGCTTGCTCAGTGGTCGCACCCGAGATCTTCCCATGGCTCCGCCTTTCCCTAGGCTCAAATGAACCTCCCTCCCTCCCTTTCTCCGGTCGGCATTTTTTCGCGTTTTTGACATGCAGCCTCAGAACTGATGGTAGATAGCCAGCGTGGTAGGTCTGGGGCTCCCCCTTCCCACTCACTTGGAGGGGGAAGCTGCGCAGACAGCGGCGCGGCGACATGTGACGTCTTGATCGTTTGCTCGTTTCTTTTAAGGAAGTTCTATTCACTTGTCCAGCTTGTGGTAGCAATTTTCACCAAAATAGGGGTTTGTTTTGGGACGCTTACCTTACTCCTGTGTTTTAACAGGAACCTGCTTGATGGGGTTCTGGGAGTTCTTCTACTCCCCAAGCCTGGCCCGAGGCCAGGCCCAACTTTTGAGAGTTTGGTCCACCAGGCTGTTGCTTGGAGCGGTCTGCAAGCCCACATACCCACCACAGCCCGGTTGGTTCAGAACTTCTTTTAGAAAATAGTCTAGTTTTCTCTTGAAGATGTCCACGGTTGTTCCGGCAATATTTATAGTCACTGGGAGGACGTTGAACGACTGCGGACCTCTGATGTTTATACAGTGTTCTCTGATTGTGCCTATGGCACTTCTGCTCTTCACTGGTTCTATTCTGCATTTTCTTCCATATCGTTCACTACAGTACGTTGTTATTTTACTGTATAAATTAGAGACCTGGTCCTCCAATATTTTCCATGTGTATATTATTTGGCATCTCTCTCATCTCCTTTTTAGTGAGTACATTTGGAGAGCTTTGAGACGATCCCAATAATTTAGGTGCTTTATTGTGTCTATGCGTGCTGAATATGTTCTTTGTATTCCCTCAATTTCAGTATGAGTAATGATTAAAATGCAGAGGTTCAACTCTGTTTAGAAAAGGGTCTGACTGCTGATGACAGGTTTGTGTAATGATTGAGTGGGTAACTAGCATTTAGTAGAGGGATATTTTGCAGTCTATTTCATACTTGTATCACCTGTAGGGAGTTTTTTTCCATAGTGGTTTTCAGCGGAACCTTCTGAAGGTCATTCCAGGCTGGATAGAGAAATCTTCAGTCCTTCCCAATTAATATTCCATTGAGGGCATCGCATTTTGAATAGATCACCACTGCATCAGGGAGTGTAAGTAGCATTGACTGGCTGGCATGTTTTTCTTGTGAGAGCAAGATATTGTCTAAGGGAGCAACAGAGTGACTTGCTCAAACTGGAAATTATCACCTATACTCAAATCATTGTTTTTATTTCTACATTAGGAAGAGGAAGCTGATTGGTATGGTTTAAGCCTCAAAGAAGCTGCTGATAAGCAGAAACTTATCGAAGAAGAAGCTAACCGGCCTCAGCCTCTCAAGCATTCTTTCAGAGCTGAGTTTATTGAATACTTGATGAATAAACAGCACGAAAGTGAGACTGAGAAACTAGAAGGGTAAGAAACACTTAAGCTTGAGTTTCATTTGTTTATCTTGCTTAGTTTTATATATGTGACCCAGAAGCTTTATTTAATTAAATTTAGAATTTAAGTTTAATTACCTAAGTGTAGTTACAGGATGAGAACTATGCTCGTGGTGTCCCATCTTCCTAGCACTCTTTGTCATATAACGCTTTGAAATTACTGACGGTTATGGCCTCTACCACCTTCTCACCTAACTTGTTCCAACCATCTTCTACTGTTTGTGAAAGTGAATTTTCTTATATTTCTTAAGCATCTTTGTTTAGTTACTTTAAATCTATGACCTCTTGTTCTTGAAGTTCCAAGTCTCAGGAATTCTTCCCTATCAATTTTATCATTTCCTGTTACCATTTTGTGCGTAGTGATCATATCGCCTTTTTTTTTTTATGTTCTAGTTTTGGCATAACCTCTAATCTCTCCTCCTAGCTGTTGTCCTTCAGTTCTGGGAGCCACTTAGTGGCATGTCTGTATTCCATCTGGTAGATAGTTTTAGACAATGAACATTACGAGTGCAAGAACTGAACCCTGTGGTACTCCAATTGTGACATTTCTCCAGTCTAATACACTTCCTCTGATTACTTCCCTCATTTTGTTATCAGTCGGGAACTTTTTCATACATGTTAGAAGCTTACCTGTCACTACTCCAATATATTCCAGTTTCCAGAACAACCTCTTAGGTGAAACTCTGTCAAAAGCCTTTTTTTTTAGGTCCAGATAGATGCAGTCAACCCAACCATCTCTTTCATGTAAAATTTCTATGGCTCGATCATAGAAACTGAGTAAATTCGTTACACAGGATCTTCCAGATCGAAAACCATACTGTCTGTCTTATTATATTGTTTTTCCCAGATGTTCTACCCATTTGATTTTAATTATTTTTTGCAATATTTTGACTTACACTTGTCAATGATACAGGACTATAATCGAGGGGCCTTCCCTGCTGCCACTTTTGTAGATTGGAGCTATGTTAGCCTCTTTCCGCACATCTACTAGGACTCCTGTACACAGGGATGCCTGAAAAATCAGTTTGGACAAGTGGAATGCTGAGCTCGGGTGTGCATTCTCTCAGAACCTATGGTGAAACTCCATCTGGTCCAACTGCTTTGTTCAACTTTGTGTGTTTATTTGTTACTGTGTTGTTCATTGTGTTTGTGTATTTATATGAAACTTCCATATAAGAAAGACTAAGAAAACTATTTATTTCCTCTTATGGTTGAAAAAGTTCTACAAATAGGATCTAAATAATGTACTTAATATATTAACCTATGTTACAATACTAAATATTATATACAAATTGTACAAGTTTAGATTTACAAAAAACATATATTGCGTATATAAATATTCAAATGCTGTTTTGTAAATAATGTAACAAAATTTGGAATAGGCTTCCAAGTAACATTATAAAAGCAAACTCACTGGAAAGTATCGAGCAACTGTTAGGAAAATACATGAGTGGGAGTGGATAGATACGAATAGGATCTGCCTCGCATGGGCTACTAGGATCTTTTACATATACTTTACTGTCATTTTATTAACCTTCATTAATCACACTAATGTATGTCATTTGTATTTTGTTGCAGACAATCTGGTGCCGGGTGGCTCTCTCGTGTGAATCCATTTGCCAAGAAGTGAGAAACATTGTGAATTGTATATACCGTAATTACTTTTCTTTATATTACAGTTAAAATAAATTATAAATGTTGTGCTGCACAGTATGCTGTACACAGTAAGACAAAATGGGATTTCAAAGATAAAATGTTAATGAAATGTAAATTTACAAAGTACAGTAATTGTAATGCTGTAGACTTTACACTGCATTTTACATTGATGCATAAACATTTTGAGCTAGTGCATTTAATTTTTTATATAATAAAAATATAATTAGATTTTTCCATTTTAATTTGATATACAAACCTTCAAATTCTAAAATGCTATTGGGAGATTCTAATAAAACGCCCATAGTTATGCCACCAAGCTATTGGTGTAGCCAGTGTGCTACAGTTGAGGACTGCTTGGACATCGATGTAAGTCCAATCAGCATAAGGCCGACATCGATGGCCTTATACGGTATAGGTATCCAGTTGGCACAAGTCTCGTACTTTGATATACACTTGCTAACAGTTAAACAAAATCTACAAAAAATTATTAGGATAGGGAAGGACAGCAAAATAGAATTGGGAAATGTGAACAAACTGCAGGAAATGTCTGAAAGGTGGCTACTTGATTTCACCTCAAGTAAATGTAAGGAAATGAGAGTTGGGGATGGAGCAATGAGGCTGCATGGTCATTGCATAATGAGAAGGCAGATCATGGAAATGAATATATATTCCCTTTTGTATATAAAGGGAGCAAGTATAATACCAAGCATGTCTTCAAGGTCACATGCAAACAAAATCATATTAGTTATCTGTACAGAATAGGCAAATATATAAGTAGCATTCAGAAATTTAGACAGGATAGCACTTGTCAGTGTTGTTAACTATATTTGTGAGGACAGCATTGGAATATGCTATAATATTGGCTTAAGTACTATTCTAAGAGGCTTTGAAAATGAGGAAAGAATGTGTCACAATTAGATAAGAGATGAGTAAGATATGATAAGGACATATAAGATCATAATAATGTTGATCATGATCATATAAGATCATAATAATATCATACAAAGTGAATACCAAAAGGACGAAATGTGTAATAGTGGAAAGAGACTTTAGATGGAAGGAAGACACATAAATGAACACAGAGATACAAGCAAACATTTCCTTACCTCTCAGAATAGACATAGTGAGTAAATGGAATGAAATTTAGGCGAAAGCAATCGAAACTTCTTGAGGTTATTTTGAAATGATTTCAGGGCTTAGTGTCCCCGCGGCCCGGTCCTCGACCAGGCCTTTCCCCCGGGAAGCAGCCCGTAGCAGCTGTCTAACTCCCAGGTACCTATTTACTGCTAGGTAACAGGGGCATCAGGGTGAAAGAAACATTTTGCCTATTTGTCTCCGCCTCCACAGGGGATCGAACCCTGAACCTCAGGACTACGAATCCGAAGTGCTGTCCACCCAGCTGTCAGGCGCGGTGTCAGACCAGTTGTGTAACCAGACCCCAGCCATTTGTGTAACTAAGCCTAGCATGAACGAACCGAACAAACAACCTCTGAAGCACAACCATTCACGAACCGAAGCCCGACTATGCACAACCCGAAGCCCAAGTGACACCCCGGAGCCCAACCAGTTGTGTAACCGGAACCCGATCAGTTGTGTAACCGGAGCCCGACCAGTTGTGTAACCAGACCTCAACTAGTTGTGTAACCGCAAGCCAAGCATGAATGAACCGAACAAACAACCTCTGAAGCACAACCATGCACGAACCGAAGCCTAACCATGCACAACTCGAAGCCCAATTGACACCCAGAGACCGACCAGTTATTTAACCGAAGCCCGACCAGTTGTGTAACCGGAGCCTGACCAGTTGTGAAACCGGACCTCGACCAGTTGTGTAACCGTAAGCCTAGTATGAATAAAACTGAACAACCTCTGAAGCACAACCATGCACGAACCGAAGCCGAAGTGACACCCCCGGAGCCCGACCAATTATGTAACCAGAGCTCAACTAGTTGTGTAACCAGAGCACGACCAGTTGTGTAACCGAACCCCGACCAGTTGTGTAACCGCAAGCCTATGATGAACGAACCGAATAAAAAAGATCTGAAGCACAACCATGCGTGAACCGAAGCCTGACCCATGCACAACCCGAAGCCCAAGTGACACCCCTGGAGCCCAACCAGTTATTTAACTGGACCTCCAACCAGTTGTGTAACTGAAAGCCTAGCACGAACGAACCGAACAAACAACATCTGAAGCACAACCATGCACGAACCGAAGCTCGACCATGCACAATCCAAAGTCCAAGTGACATCCCCAGAGCCCGACCAGTTATGTAACCGGAGCCCGACCAGTTATTTAACCGGAGCCCAACGAGTTGTGTAACTGGACCCCGACCAGTTGTGTAACCACAAGCCTAGCATGAACGAATAGAACAAAAAACATCTGAAGCACAACCATGCATGAACCGAAGCCTGACCATGCACAACCTGAAACCCAAGTGACACCCCCGGAGCCCGACCAGTTGTGTAACCAGAGCCCGACCAGTTGTGTAACTGGAAGCCTAGCATGAACGAACCAAACAAACATCTGAAGCACAACCATGCATGACCCAATGCCCAACCATGCACAACCCAAAGCCCAAGTGACAACCCTGGAGCCCGACCAGTTATTTAACTGAAGCCCGACTAGTTATTTAACCGGAGCCAGACCAGTTATTTAAATTAACTGGAGCACGACCAGTTGTATAACCGAAGCCCCACCAGTTGTGTAACCGTAAGCCTAGCATGTATACATCTCATCCTCCCCCCCCCCAAAGCTAAACAAACAGCCCCAAAGCCCAACCAAACTCCATTCCTAGCTCTACCTAATACAGACTTCCTTAGCCCTACCTAAACCCTCCACTTGCCCTAGACACCAACTATGGAGCCATAGCAAACAAAAATTGAGCTCTATACGAAAAAAGAAACTCGGATTTCTAGCAAACATACAACCATAGAGGCCTAACAAACAAACCTGGTACACAAACAATCCCTGGATCACAACCATGCACGAACCGTAGGCCGACTATGAACAACTAGAAGCCCAACAAGTCACACTCCCCGGAGCCCGACCAGTTGTGTAATCGCAAGCCCAGCAAGCAAATATCTCATTCCCCCCCCCCCTCCAATATGCTTAGTGGGGTGCCACAGGGGTTCATTTTGGGGCCAACCCTTTTTGTCAAATACATCAATGACATAGATGAGAATATTGCAAACCATTTCAAATTTGCAGATGACACAAAGATCTATGGTAAAGTGGGAAGTGAAAGTCACATTGAAACCTTACAAAGAGATTCTACATGAACTCTACAAATGGTCAGGTGACTTTTTAATGTCGATAAATGCAAGACCTTGCATGTGGGGCATAGCAGTCCACGTCACAACTTCCAAACTGACAGCCCTACCTTTCAATAGATAGATGAAGAAAAGGATCTTAGAGTAAGAATCCATTACGTGAGGCAGACTACACAACACAACTACCAAATCATCAACATTATCTTGAAGTCAGAATCCACCAATCACTTACAGTTGTACAAGTGGGAGAGGCAGTAAAAAAGCAAACCAAACCCTGGGAATAATCATGCGTACCTTTACCTTCAAGGAAAAGAAAGTAGACCTTTAATTTTATTAGATTCGGGTGCGCCCCCACATGAATTATTGCATCTAGGCATGGAGACCTCATCTTCAGAAAGACATAGCTGCTCTGGAGCCATGTTTTACCAGAGCTATGGAGCTATGTCTTACGACAAAAATCATACCAGAGTTTAGTCATCTCTCGTATCAGGAACGGTTGAGGGCCACAGGGCTAACTTAACACCACAAACCAGGCATGGCAGGGCGGACTTCAGAGAAACCTTTAAAATACTAAACAATTTGGAGGATGTCGATCAGGACAATGTCTTCAAAAGGTCAGATGTTACACGAACAAGGAGCCACGGGTTCACACTCAACAAGCCAGAATGTTAGACAGGAAACAGGAGATGCTTTTTCACCCATAGGGTTGTAAACCGGTGGAACGGCTTACCCGCCGAAGCCGTAAACGCCAAACCTCTGCTGGGGTTTAAAATACAGCAGGAAAAGATCATCAGGGCAAATGGGGGGACCTTTGACAAGCCGCCGGATTTCTGTCCTCATCGAGGCCACTAGTGTTAGTGGCCCTCAGGTAAATTCAGTTCCTGGAGGGGTGTCCCCGTGCCCCGCTCCTTCCCGCTGGGAAGTTAGTCATCTATTCCACTATTTGTACACAGGACTGTCGCTTGTTACTAAACTTAGCTTTTAAACTATTAACTTGATGAAATAAGTTAATATACCTTATACGCGAGAATAATTCTGTATACGCAGTGCAATAAAATTGACGAATGCGACTTTGCGTTGGGCGGCCGCTATATAGGCGAGCCTGGCCTGAGGACAGGCAACTGTAAAACTAAACTAACTAGTTCATTTATTATGCACCCCATACCCATCTTGTGGGCGGTAGTGGAAAGGGTTACAGAGGCACATAATGGGCTCAGGGACTGAACCCCACAATTCATTTAGCTAAGCAAGTTACAATCTTGATGAGCTAGTTACAAAATTAAATATAAGTCGTCACATCAGCAAGGGGTTCGAGATCGACCTCAAGTACAGGTTCTAAATTAAGCAACTGACATATGTGGAGAGCTAATGTCACAATTGATATGTTTGTCCTGCACACCGTCCCCCATCCAGTGGGCAATGGTGGATTACAATTAGGTGAGTACGAAATCAGTCGAGTCGTGTGTAAACCATTTTTCATTCATAAACAGGGGGTTTAGTGGGTGCATGGAATCACTTTTGGGTCTGTTTGGAGGACCGGCTGAATACAGACATGTGACGGAACCCATTGGAGAGAGATCGACCAACCCGGAGTACAAGAGTACGACAACAGTTCCCCACGGATCTGTGACACAGTAGAACGTATTCTTGGTTATACTTATATCCATTGAGACCTTTGAGTTCGCGAGCACTGCTTAGTATCAACCTTCTGTTTTCCAAATTTGCAATGGTTATTCGTTCCATATATGCTTCAGGCCTACCTAACCTCTATACATTTGATATATTTAATTTCTCCACCTTGCCTATTAATTTCTTTATCATTTTGCCTCAGTGAATTCCTGGTTATTCTTGTCTTTTTTTTCTCGAAAAAACCTATTGTCCTCATTTCTCGTATGGTAGTAGGCATCCTTCAGTCTCGGGAGACTATGGAGTTGCGCCCTGGTTGTCAATCCTGGA